GCTGAACCCTTAGCTTTAATTGTTCATCAGAATGAGCTCGGGGATTGATGATGGAAGCTCCACCAATTGCGCATCAGAAGCTCGAAAGTAATGCTTGATCTTTTTATTCAGTTTTATAACTTGAATTACTGCTTATGTCCTGTGTTGTCTTAGACTTAATTTGTCTTAAAGTGTTATATGAATGCTAGATGTAACGATTCAGGCATTCAAGAATATCATATTCGAGAGAGTTTTTGTTGTCGATAAGTCGACTGGAGATTTGCGAGAAGTTGCCAAGTGAATTTGATCAGTCGATCCTGAGGTATGCATTTCAATTTTCCGTAATTGTATTGCGGTTGCTTGGAATACGAGCAGTAACGTGATGTTTTAGTTTCCTAAATTGTATTGGGATTGCTCGCTTAACATGCTCTAGTGTCTTTTGGATATTGTTGTGCATATTGATAAGTTGCATTTTCTCAATTTAAATAGTGAATTTGTGGACATNTTGTGGACACTTCACATAGCATACAAGACCGCCAAAGAGTACCTGGCAGCTTGCCTTTGCAAGGGTTTAGACGTACTGACTATAGTTCATCCCCACCTACTCGTGGGGATTCCAGTAGTTATTCACGAGGCAATTTTGGAAGATGGGAAAGCCGTTCCTCTGGGCGGAGTGATCGAGATAACGAGTCACAATCTGATCGGGATTCAGGTTCAGATCAGATTCTTCTATCTATTGCTTTTATGTGTGTGATAAGCCTTTTTCATTATACTTGATTGCTTTAGAACTGCAGCTGTAGTTGTACTGTATGTATGTATGTATGTATGTATGTATTATTATTATTATTTTTTTTTTTTTGAGATTTAGTGTACTGTATGCATTACTATCTGCTGTAAGATTCATGTTGGTTGCATGGCCCTCTCGGTCCAAGATTGTGCAATTGATGCTGTCAAAACCCAACCTAAAGGCTATTCAGTGACTAACAGTATCCCTAACCAAGGCATGCTATAGTTGTTCCTCTTAGTTTAGATTGCTCATTTGGTTGATAGCAAGCATTATGCCCATTATGCACCAGCAGGAGATCAGCTTATCTGCTTTATTTAGAAAAAGGAAAAAAGAGGGAAATTTATGGGAAATTATAGGATCATGTTCACTTTGGTATTGGACCATAATCTCTCATGCAGCTTATTCATGAGCAACCACCTCCACCCCCTCCCCAAAAGGAAGTATGGGGGGAAAAAGAGATAGGAAGCTCTCATCCATACAGTTATCCTCTTTCTTTTGATACTGTGTATATTGAAGTCATGGAAAATCTAACTCTGATGATAGCATTATATGCCTCCGTATCTGCATGAAGGAAGAAGGAAAGACGGAAGAACTAACAATAGAGAGTTGAGGGGATATATCATGGGGCTTATTTGAATGCATTCAACAACTTTCTACATTCAAATGTGTATTTTATGATAAAGTTGATTTACTGTATTTGTTTCCGTACATTTGGAAACATTTGGAGAACACAAAATTGTGTGTGATTAAACAGATGGCAAAAGGTTCAGATGTTCTGGCAGTGAAGTATGGAGGTTGAATTACTGGTGCTGTCCTGGCGCTATTATTATTTATGAGCTGCCAGATTGCCTTCAGCTTCTTCTAATGTTCACGGAAGTAACTTCCTTGGAGAAGGTTGCTATAACAAATGTGAGAAAAGGAGAATGAACAGGGCTCATATTTGAAGCCTGATTTATTGGAAAACCTTGAGGTTAGAATGCCATGCCATATGGGCATATAGTTGTCTAAATTTTCCCAAAGGTACTCTTTACTGACTAAGAAACTTCATATGGTTACCAGAAAATTTAAAGCTGATTGAAACATGGTCCTAGATTTGGCAAGGCTTCCTAAAATTTTCATTGCTGATGCGAAGGTGTGACTGTAAGATGTGTTCCTTGTAAATATCTCCCCTTTTAAATATGCTTATTTATCGTCTGTATGGTCATATGTGATTTTGAATTGACTTTCTTTTTACCTTAGATCCGAACTCTTAGAATTTCTTGTCTTTGGTGCTTTCTTCTTGCAAACTATATTGATGCGCTCTGACGGGTGCAAAATGTTGTGGTCTTTGTCAAATTCAATAACCTGCTTCTTAAGTTTTTGAACTAGTCATTTTGTTAATCTGCACCAATTGTAGTTGGATGTTGAATTCTAAATAGACACAGGTGCAAACCCTGGCCATGATAGGTTTCTATAACAATGATGAATGTTTTGGTTAATTATCGAAAGATAAACCTTTCATATTTGCAAAGTGGGTTAACTTCCTTCTGAGTACACTACGTACTATTATGTTCATATTTTATGGATCACATAAATGTGGTCATTCAGGATAACTGTGTGAGGTTAGATAATTGGAGGGGTCATCCATTAGGATCATCATGCTTTATATTATTTTCTCATTTTACAACTGGGCACTCAGGAATCAGGATAGCTCCGTTGGACGTAATTAGAGGGAATAATGATAGAATTAGGAGTATCATGATATGACTTACTTTTACATTTTTTTCTACAGTTGTTTTCATGGCTGCTGGCTAAGTGCCTTTCACATGGTTGTTTCTTTGCGTATTATATATCTAGTCCATTTGTGATAATCATAGTTGGAGGGACTGTTTGCCAAGGGTCTTGAATCTCGATCTCCGTTTAAATTCAATCTCCGTTTAAATTCAATCTCCAAAACACGAATTGGAATCCAGGTTCTACTCATTGTTAGGTTCATTATTCATTAGGTAAGAAAAGCCTTGAGTGCCATTTGAAGGTTCTTTTCTGCTCCACTTCTTGTGCTTCACATGATTTGCTGGCTTAATTGCAGAAATAGTTCCCCTCTTGCATCATAGGCAATAAAGTGTTTTTCTGCTGTGTAATATATTTTTTGATAACTGTGGTGTACGGGCCAGCTTGCGCGCACCTCAACTAATTCCACGGGATACATGCTACCTCCTACTAACAATAGGTACCAGGTAATTCTATCCACCAAGGCTGGGATAGATGGGAAGAAATCACCTAGTGTTTTTTTGTCTTCACTAGGAATTTCTACTGTGTAATACCTTGTTCTTGTGTATCACGTATTCTCCAATTTCTTAGTTGATTTTGTGTGCATGTGCATGTGACATTGAAGTAGTTTGTTTCTTCATAGAATTTAGTAAATATTTTTTGCCACAGATTCTGGTTGGCGATCTGGCAATCAAGCCCAGCACACTCGGCAGAGTTCTGAGCATGATGGGCTTCTTGGAAGTGGTTCATTTCCAAGGCCGTCAGCATATGCATCTGGAATATCTGCACCTAAGGTCCGAGCAAGCAATAACTATCAATCTAACAAGAGCAATGAGCCATATCATCCTCCTCGCCCTTATAAGGTGAATTTGAGTTGATCACTGCTTTCCAATGTTCTGGCGTGCTTCATGATTTGTCCTCTTATTTCAGCGAAACTTTATATAAATTTTACTCTTGCAATATCTTCAGGCGGGACCTCACTCTCGAAGAGACACTGATGCTTTCAATGACGAGACTTTTGGTTCAGTTGAGTGTACGAGTGAGGATAGAGTGGAAGAGGAAAGAAGGAGAAGAGGTATTACTTATTAAGATCATGCATTTCTATTATGGTGCTATATCCCATGTTAGCATCTGCAATTCTTATGAGCTTGTGGGGGATAGTATTTTGATTGAATTTCTTTCAGCTTCCTTTGAGTTAATTAGGAAAGAACAGCAGAAAGCTCTTCAAGAAAAGCAGAAGTCAAAACTGGAGAAGCATAAAACCGAGGACATTTCAGTACTGCTGGAAGAGAATAAGGAGGATAGAGCGTTTTTGGACAAAAATAGTGAAGCAGATGGGATGACCACCCAACCTTTCGCAAACAGTGATCTGGGAAAATCTTCTTTTCCTTCACAGAATCCACCAGCTAGACCACGTGTACCCCCTGGCTTTAAAACCACTGTTTTGGATAAGAACTCTGGCTCAAATTTGAGCCATTCACGTGTGACAGAGGTATTCACTTGTACTTAGTTTTCTCCAATAGAACATACTTATGCTTGATCCTTTTCTCATAAAAAAAGAAAAGAAAAGAAAATGAGGCTTCAAGGAAATGAGCAAAAGGGACAACAACGAGAGTTGATTATTCATTTTATCTTGTGCTTGCTTCGTCGCATTTTAGTTCTTTGTCTATTACTATTACTCCCTCTATCTTAGTTTATATGACTATGTTTGACGGGACATGGAGTTTAAGAAGCAGATGAAGACTTTTGACCTATAAGCCAAATATATGCAAAGTACCAAAATTACCTTATCACCAACAATTAAATGAGATGGTAAGAATTCCACATGTTCCTTCATCTGTCACTCTCCTAATAAAAAATCTTTAGATCAAGTGGATCTCAACAAGTCATATCATTAAGGGTAAAATGATGATGTTAGGATTAAATAGTTTCCAAATACAACAAAGTGTCAATGTTAAAATGGAAAACAGGAAGGATATACTAAAGTTTAATGCTTCCTCCTTCAACATCCTCCCAAGGATCTCTTTTTGCTTCTATTTTGAATTTCTTAACAATGAGGAAGTCTTGTAATTATTTGCTGCACGAGCTATGAAATACTTAATTACTATAACTAAACCGGCTCAAAATTTTGCAGTGCTAAACGTGAGTGAAGTGGTTTGCTCTTCTCTGTTACTTCTTTTCTACTTTTAATCTTGACTCAAATTAGGGGAGATGTAAGTATACCATAATTCTTGGTCATTTTATCTGTCTTTAAAATTTTTGGCACGTCAATGGATCTCTCAGCAAAGCAGTTGAGCTTAAATGGAGCGAAATGGTTAGTCATGATTCATATAGCTGATCCCAACTAGTTTTGGGTTGAGGCATAGTAGTAGTAGTTGTTTATAGATCTCTAAGAGCTGCAATCTCTTCCTGCAATTTCAGGCTGTATCGGTAGCCAGGTGAAAGGAATACAGTTAAGCATCCTAAGTTTCCTTAGGAATACTGGTTATAAAAAAAAAAAAAAAAAAAAAAGTAAGTTTCTTTGGGGATACTTTGAATTTTCATAATTCCAGTGTTTCCTCCTTGGGATAGGTGGTATGTAGTCAAACACTTCAAAAGAAAAGCTTATGTGAAGAGTGATACATTGACTGGCTGAGAATTCATTCTCTATTTTATCTAAAAGATAACCTAAGGAAACTGAAAAGTAGGAGAAACGAACAGTAATTGCAACAACTCTAGTCTGTTGGTTGCATGGTGTACGGTTTTCACTTGCACTTACGTAACTGGACTCAACTATGCAAAAGCTACTAATGCTGAAAACAAGAAACCCCTAAAACTTTTTGATGTCATCACATCAAATTTTCCATCCCGCCTTCTTTGAAAGCAGCTGGATAACAACTTTGTCATATGTGTTCTTGTTGTCCGTTACTTGTTTTTAGATGCAGGGTAGTGCAAGGTGGAAAGTAGATGGAAAAAGAAAATGGGTGTTGGAGTAAGCGTTCTCTAGCTTTTGGTATTCTCAGCTCTCAAGTATCTTTTTAACAGCTTGATCCTGGAGAAGAGGAGCAAGGGGGTGGGTGGCAATGTAGACATTCCAGTACTGTTGTTGTGCTAAGATCTATTGGAACTGAATGCCGTGGATTCTATTAAAGGCTGTGCCAGAATTTCGACCACATCCTCAAATGGAATATTGCATCACTTATTATTTAAAATCAAAAGTTTGATATATTCTGCTTTAACTCCCTCTCAACATGTGCACCATCTGAAAAGTAATCTGTTGCCCTGCATCTGCCCCATTCTTTATGAAGTAATCCAAATTTTGAGTCCCTGCTCGATGATATTTTAGGTCGATGAGTATTTGAGAATCTTAATAAAGTTGAGCAATTCGTGAAGAGACAGCAATAGCTGTATGGTTTTATTTAAATTACTCAGTTGCTTGTTAATCGAATTTTGAGTTTGAGTTAACATGTGCTGACATCTTAGTCCATCCTTGTGTATCTGCTGGTGTTATCTATTGATTGCCCGGTCTGTATGTCTTCTGTTTAGGTTGGACAACCTGACACTGAAGAAAGCCCATTGGAAGCCAAAGCCTATGCTGCCCCGAATGGTGTTCTTCAGAGTGTAGAGAGACAGAGCTTGCAGGAAATTAGTTCAAGTTATAAACATGCATCAACTCTGAAGAAGAATGACCAAATTGCTAATCTTTCAGCAAAATCAGATATTTCTGATGGGATACTTGGCATGGAAGATCGTTTAAATCGGATTACCAGTCATTTAGAGTTCCACGAAGCCTTGGATGAGCCTGAAATTATTGAAAACAGTACTCAGCCTTCGGGTAGCAAGTTTGTTGAGTCTAGCCCCAACCCTTCAACGTCAATCTTGGATAAGATATTTGGAGGTGTTGTAGCAATTAATGTTGGTGACTCTGAGGCTCCAATTGTGGTAATAGTTTTGCACACTTTATCAGCTTCAGTACTGTCTAAGTTTTAATTTCATTACTCTTAAACAATCCTATCAATCCCACCGCCCTGCCCTTTTGCGGTCCTCCTCTTCAAATTGCTATACACTTATTAGGTGGTTAAAAGCTCTTAGGTTGAGGTCATCCTTCGTTTAGGGTAAAACTTATGTGCTTTCTGGACTATTGTTGTCATCCTGATTCCTGAGGGGTGATTGCATTTCATTCAGTCCACAGCTAAGATTGCAACAGTATCGTTAAAACAGTGAGAGGAAGCATGGTTTCTTTCATCATCATGCCTGTTTTTTGCAGAAATTCTTGCCATCTGTTGTTGTTTCTTTTTCTTTCCACTGTTGGAGTTTTCATCAATATTCTTGACTTCATTTAGCAGTAAATACACACTGCACTTGTGGCTTCCCTACTAGTTGTTTATTTTCTTCGTTTGACTTTATCCCCAGAATGACAATATTAAACTGAATGACATGTTGGGCTCCAAGGCTATAGAATCTTCGAAGTTCGCTCAGTGGTTTATGGAAGAAGGTATCCTTCCTTTTATGTTTTTTTGTTTTTTGCTTTTTAGTCATTTTTTCTATCGAAGTTCTACAAATTCTTTTTTAACCTGTCTTATACCATTTAATATCGTTGTAGATAGGAAGGCTCCGGAAGATTCCTCGTTAAGTAGGCCAAACAATTTGCTTGCCTTAATTGTTGGCGGCGATAAAACCAGATCACAAGCTTTTGATGGAAATGTTTCAGAATGCTTTCCATCTGAAAATTTCAATCAGAGTACTGAGCCTACAAGTAAGGTCACATTGCATATGCCTTCTGCACCACTTGGGGTATCTGAGCCTATGTATGAGTCTAGTAAAAGGGAGGCAGCCCCGTCGATCTTTACTTGTGAGGACCTTGAGCATAAAATGCTGTCAGAGTTTGGTGAAAAGAGGTCTAATCTGCATCCTACTTCACAAGGTTGCGGTACTAATTGCTTAGACACTGAAGAACAACCCGTAATTGTGGACAGCCATGCATCTCAACACCTCCTTTCATTATTACAGAAGGGGCCAGATCATACAAATATGACAGGGAAGGGCAGTACTGGCACTGAAGCCAGGAATGGACATGTTGAGTTTACCGTGCATGACCGGTCTAAGGAGGAAGATACCAGGGATTCTCAAGCTTCAGGAAAGGCAGTTACACTTGAAACCCTTTTTGGAACTGCTTTTATGAAGGAGCTGCAATCTGTACAAGCTCCAGTTTCAGTTCAGAGGAGCTCAGTTGGTTCTGCACTAATTGATGGTTTGGAGACACGCAAGTCATCCTTGTCTGGTTTTGATGACGGCCTTTTTTCTTCCATAAGTGATGGTATTGGACCAAAAGGAGGCGGTAAGGATAACAGGCTCTTGCAGTTGAATCACAGAGGTCAAACCAAGCTGGATGAGCCTCAAACCTGGTCGGGATATGAAAATTCTCAGTATGTAGTTAAATCAAGGCACCCGAGTGAAATGTTTTCCAAGAGTGAGGCTGTTGAATATCACCTGCCTGCAGAAAACTTAATTAGTGCTCGTGATCATTTGAGTCCCCAGGTCTCAATGGTTATGCCTGCAGGAATTTTGAGTAAAGGAGACTTGGCAACTGGTAGTGGCGCTGGCGGTGATGGAAGGTCTTTGATGAATGAAGGTCTGCCCTTCTCACGTGTTTCCTACGATCAGATGGAGTCTGAAATGCCATTGCATCATATTCGTGCTCAACCATCAACTTCGCAATTTCATCCCTTGCAGATGAGTCAAGGGAAGCCATTATTTCATCCTATGGATTCTGGTCCTGCTCATTTAAATCCTCAGATTTTCAATGGTCCAGAAAGCATGGCTCTGCATGAAGCTCCTGGTCGTCAGTTTGCTGGAAATATGATGCGACCTCCATTTCACCACCCTAATGGTGGACTGACAGGGTTTGGTCTCCCTGTTCACCATCCTATGCTGCAGCAGATGCAAATGGCTGGAAATAGCCCTCCTCGTCTGCTACATGACCGTCTAAGGGGTGCACAGGTTCCTTCACATCTCAGTAATCAAGGAGCTAGCATTATGCAGGAAGTTAACAGAATTCAAGCATTCCCTTTTGCGCCACACCAAGTCAACATTAGTGGCCAAACTGTGCAAATGCCAGGTAAAAGCCCGAATGTGTTGTCTCTGCAGGTGTCTGTGTGATGATATGTTACTGATTACACCTCAAAGTGTTGCTCTTTTTTGATCTTGCTGAATTTAATGCATAAATTTCATCTCTACTAAGTCTTCTACTTTTTCCTTAGTTTTGCCGATGTAAGATTGCACTTGCATCGACTGTACCTCAAAATGAAGTTTCCCTTTGCTGATCTTGCTGATTTTAAAGCACAGATTTCATCTCTACTATTGTCTCTATTTGTTCCTTAGTTTTGCTGTCCTGATAATGTAAGAAAGACATATTTATTTATACTCTTTCCTGACCCTCATTGATGCAGCGATTCTGCTGTTCTAAATTTGAGTGTATTGTTACTGTGACCATGCACGTAATAATGAAACTACATTTTATAATTACAATGGGATGCTGGGATTCATCTTTCTATGACTACGTCCTGTGAAATTTTGAGTGATATCAAGTCGAAATGAGGATTAAACATGAGCGGATGTTGTATATTCTGTTATCAGCTTTAGCTTTTCCTCTTAATTGTGTAGGTTAGTAAATTTATTTACCTGAAAGCAAGAAGGCGAACTTTATATTCCCTTTTTTGCTTGTGAATTTGGCCTTTGAGGCTTGAGCTAGTGAAGTATGCTCTTCCCCACCCCAGTACCCTTCTTGATGGTACGTCTTGAGATTTTTCTGCTGTTGATTGTTAAAAACCCTGAGAAACTAGTAAAAATTAGTAATGACGTGCTTATCATTTATTCTAAATAGGCCTTTGTACTCTTCTTCCTTTTATCGGTGTATACACTGATACTCTTCTGGTTGAGGATGCATCCTCTGCTGATGTTTAACTAGCTGGGTGAGTTTATGCATTAAAATTCTTATTTGTTTCACTCCAGCTCCAGATATCAACACCAGAAACATTCACCCCGAGGCCATGCAAAGGCTTGTTGAGAGGCAACTTGGGGCTTCTAAGCAGATCCACCCTTTTGCCGCTGGCAATGTCCAGGGGATGCACGGCCACGAGCTTGACATGGGTTTGCGATATAGATAGTTGATCATGGAAACTCCTGTTCATTGCAGCGTTCTGCAACTGGGTACAGTGGTGTTTTTTTTGTTTTTAATTGGTGATAACTGAGAATCCACTGTTTACAGCTTCGAAACTCGTTGGATAATGGGTCGGCTCCCCTACCCCTTCTCCACTTAAATTCCATAACTTTTTTTCCCAACAAGGATCGGACCTGTGAGGTGTGCCTGCCACACATCCCGTGATGTACTACCTATACCACTGCACCAACGCCCTTGGGCGCAACTGGGTACCATGTTCGCCTTTCACTTTTTTTTGGTTGAGGGCTTGGTATAAACTCCTGGGAAGTGGTGTAATTTTAGATTTTATTTTCTTTTACTTGGTATGTTTCTCATCTTGGCAACAGGTTAATAGTGGACGAGAAAGGGGCTCTGTATCAACGTTTCTGATTCTTGTGCATGCATGGTTGTGCGAATTCTCACCAGTTAATGGGGGACCTGTTCACCTTACAGATCCTGTGTATAACGCGAATTGGACTATCCTTATTTCTGATATCGTACCAACTGTTATTCCAAAATAAATATGCAAGGGCCTGCAAGAGTTTATCTAGCTTTCAGTAACTGGATGTCATTTCATTTGACCAAAGTAATATTCTTCTAAGATGCGCTGCTCAAAACAAATTCTTGTTGAACTTCAGCATTCAACCATTTCAAGTTTAGGTTTGATTCTGGTATAAAAAATTGGAACCGTTTCCACTGAGATTACTGTTTCCGATTCAGAGAATGAAGAGAAACCTACACGCGCTGATGTTCGCTGATTTTGAACACCAAATATTGGTTAACTCTCACCTGAGGTGGTTGTGCTGGACTTGGATGATGATGAAGACTTCTCTCGAGATCCACCTCTAGGTTACACTGCTAGTTTTAATTTGAATTACTTACAAATATCGACGCCAAATAATCCAGATATATGAATTACGTCTTAATTAACCCAAATTGATATTAGTTAAGAATGTTTCTTTCTCGTAGACAAGGGGTGCCTTAAGGCAGAATAAAAAAAAATATCCCTAAACTTGGCACGGATTATTAGTTACAACATTAAACTATTCGTGGTCTTAATTACCCCCTCAACTTGGCCTTTTGAGAGCCATTATCCCCTGGACGCTGACGTGGCAAAGAGTGTGGGTGCACTCTCTTTTAAGCGCGTGAGAGTTCAGAAAAATTGAAAAATTTGCTTCCAAATAGGTTATTTTTTAACTTTGAATTGTCATATAGTCATATAGAATGATTTATTTGTTACAACTATGCACTTCTTCTTGCTTCATCTTAACATACAATGTGGACTTTACTCTAACTTTTATTATTTTTAATTTCTTCTAAGATATAATGTCTATTTGTTCCAGTTGCATATTTCTTTTATTGTTTTTGGCCGAATTTGTAAAGCGTTTGGTAGGAACTCTATCATTTTAGNTTTAAAAATAATACCAGATAAACAGAAAAACCCACGTGGCAGGCGAGTGCATGCCACTTTCCTGAGATGAGATCATCTAAGGGGGTAACAACTACCGAATAACCAAGTATAGGGGGCTATATATATATAATGTCTATTTATTTTAATTGTGTATTTTTTATTTTCGATTCAAACCAATAAAAATAATTGGCCATAGCTCCATTATTTTTTACCAAATAAAAAAGTATAGCCAAAATAGTGAACTTGCAATTGTACACTCTTATTTCTTCTTTTGATGCAATGACTATTTATTTCAACTGTGTATTTTTACTTTTCAGGTTAAATCTGTAAAAAAAATATATTTTTAGAGCACCATAAATTAGAGCTATATAAAATATTATAGCCAAAATAATAAATTTCAAATTATATATTTTTTTATAACTTTTTAGATGCCTTGATTATTTATTTCAATTGTATAAATTTTTATTTTCAGGTCAAATTCAAAAAAAGAATAACTAAAGCTTTATTATTTTTAGCCAAATAAAAAAAACTAGCCTAAATAATGTAGTTCTATCCAAGTTTTATTATAAATTTTATTAAAAATAATTATCTAAAAAAGTAACATACTCAAAAATGTAAAAATATATTTTATTTTTAAAAATAATACCAGATAAACAGAAAAACCCACGTGGCAGGCGAGTGCATGCCACTTTCCTGGGATGAGATCGTCTAAGGGGGTAACAACTATCGAATAACCAAGTATAGGGGGCTAATTAAGACCATAGATAGTTCAAGAATGTAACTAATAATACGTGCCAAATTTAGAGAGGGTTTTAAGGTATTTTGCCTTTTAAATAATGATAAGCTAAGGTTAACTAGCTTCCTCGTAATAAAAGCCCCACAATCCATCAGATTGCCCAACCATGTTTTTATGCTACGTTTGGTTTCTATTGTTTTTCTTATAAGTTTAGATTTAATTTATATTGAAATTATGTGATTTTTTTTATTTTTATAATGGTGATCTTTAGGTCTTTTATCTCATTACGTGCACATCAACTATTGTGTCGAACACCTACCTCCTACCAATACATGTATCTAATAACCCACTACAACATATTCATATAAGATAAACCACCAATCTTTTTTTCCCCCCGCTTCTAACTGAGATCCAAATTCTAGTCTCCCAAAAGATCATCTTTCAGAGCAATTGTTATGTGTTTTATTTGTTTTATCTAGTTTTAAAGGAATAAATAAGGAAACTTTTGTGGACAAGAAACATAACATAAGAATTTTTAAACCGACCAAGGTGCCATCTGGATTTAGTTTAAAGAGTTTATAAAAAAGAAATTAAAGACAATTCTAAGTTTTAAAGAGTTGTGCTAAGATTTGTACCCCGAGGCACTCAACTATCAAGTATGATCCCTAACAATCCTCCAGTTACTCTAGAGAGGAGTGAGGTTTCTGGTGCTCAGAATCAACCCCCTATACCCTATATTTCATCTGTTTCTCATGCGAATAAAGAAGTTCTTGGAGGAAATAAGACTGGTCAGGAGGAAATCATAGAAACTAGTAATGGGGATCCAGGGGGGAGGGGGGATTGCTCATGTTTTTTATGAGTGTGCCTCTGAACAATTGATGAATCATAGATTGGACTCTACCCCTGTTACCATCAATCCTGTTTCTAATAAGGAGCCTATGCCTACTGTCAGCTTTGAAGAAGAAATTAAGGCATAACTGATAAGGAAACTAAGGGTAAAATCCTGTAATGGAAGAGTCTCAATATAAAACCAAAAAGAAAAACAATCCTAGTCAAATGAAGAGAAGAGCAATAAAGAAGAAGGAAGTGGCATTAGAATTAAGCAGGACCTTGATGGCATCTCTCAGGATAGTATTCCTAAAGATGACCATCCGCTGGTTGATTTTGCAAAGCTTCAGCCTCTCCTGATGGACAAAGGAGGAAACATTACCCACACTTCAGCAACTGAGAAGGGACTGATATTTTGTGATGATATTGTTAGGAGGGCCTGAGATCTTGAGAATGGATCAAGGAAATCCTGATGCTCCGCCAGCCATTCCTCATGCTGAATAGGCTATGGGGGATCTGGATCTAGCCTTGCGATTGGGGCCGCCGAGCCCAACAAAAGAGGCTCTCGAAAGAGAGCTTTCACTTGGCCCCTCCAAGTTTGTTGAATCCACAGAAACAAAGGCCACCTGATCGTATCCTTCAAAACCTTGATCCTGGGAAATTTTCCAATGCTACATGTAAATGATGAGTATAGACCTATCTTGTCAGAGGATGACCTTGAAGATGGTAGTGAAGGGGATGATGAGTATAGTGATGGTGAAGACCAATATTGTAACCTCCTGATCAATGCTATCAATAGTGAGGAGGATCATGACCAGATCATAGCCACTCAGGGACTATCTCCAAGACAAGTGAGGTTTTCACCAAGACTAACCAGAAGCAGGGCATCAACAGGTCACAGTAACAACCAAAATATCCAAAAAACCTCTTTTTTCTTAATGATTAGCACAATCATTTTGAATGTGAGAGGTATCAGAGCCTCTGGAGCTATTGAAAGACTCAAAACCTTGAAAAACTCCACAAACTCTCTTTCATTGCAGTTCTAGAACCTTTGCTACAAGTAGTTCAATCCCACTCCTACCTTGATTTTTTCAGAATCCAACTTTCTATGCATTACATAACAGCCAATGTTAATGATAAGATTTGGGTCTTTTGGGATAAGGAATTCAATGGTACAATATTAGACCATGATGAACAACAAATGACTCTTGAACTGAGACATGTGGAAGCTGGAGAATTATTTCATATCCTAGTTATTTATGCAAATTGTAAGCCTATTATGAGAAGACCCTTATGGGAGACCTGAGACTCAAATCTTCAATATGTTCAGTTCCTTGGTGTATTATTGAGGATTTCAATGTTATTGCTTCAGTTGAGGAGAAGATTGAGGGAATTCCATATTAGTTGAAGAAAAATATTGATTTTATTAATATGATTGAAGATTGTGGACTAATGGATCTTGGTTTCTATGGTCCTAGGTATACTTGGTCAAATGGAAGGGGACATGGGACAATGCTCTATTGTATGAAAAATGAGGTTTAGTCAATGATCAATGGTTAACCTCCTTTCGTGCCACCACTATCACTCATTTAGCTTCTTCTGGCTCTGACCACTCACCTCTTATGATGTAGATGCATGTAAGACAGAAGACTAGTAAGAAGTACTTCAAGTTTCTAAATTGCTGGGTTGAGAATGAAACCTTCAAACCTTTAGTCCAACAAATATGGTATATATAATTCACTAGCAAAGCAATGTGGATTTTTCACCAAAAGCTTAAAAGAAACTTCTCAAGCTTTGAGTATTTGGTCTAAGGAACAATTTAGGGACATATTCCAAAAACCATAAGAGATTGAACAAAAAGTTAGAGAAGCTAAAAATAAATGGATATCTACCAATGATCTTGCTGACACAACCCTTCTCTATGAGTTGCAGGCTCAATATGTCAAGTTTCTGAAGACTGAAGAAGCAGTGTTAAAACAGAAAACCTAACTTCAGTGGTTCAAAAAGGGTGATTCCAACTCTAGATATTTTCATAGCTTAATCAGAGGTAGAAGAATAAAATTTTACATTCATAAAATTTAAAACGAGGATGGGGATTGGATACAAGGGGATGACTCCAGTGGGGAAGCTGTATGTAAAGTTTTTGAAGATCTCTTCACTGAAACTGGTGGTTATATCAGACAGGATCTCCTTAACTTCATTCCCTCCATGATCAATTCGTAAGACAATGAAAATCTCACCAGGGATCCAACTATGCAAAAGCTCAGAATGGTAGTTTTCTCAATAAACCCCGATAGTGCTGCTGGCCCCTGCTGGGATGAATGGAAAGTTTTTTCAATCATGCTGGGAAATAATCAAATGTGACTTGCTTAATGTAGTTCTGGCATACTTAGGTACATGACTAATGCATGCCTAGTTCTTTTTCCTAAGGTGGAATTTTCTAATTCTTTAACAGAATTCAGGCATATCGGTTTGAGCAATTTCATTAACAAAATCATCTTCAAAGTCATCTGTACAAGACTTGCACCTATCCTTCCTAAGACCA